AGAATACACGCATTGACAAACCTTAAAATTAGAGCACGCGGTACGGAGAGCATTTTGAGCCTGAAAGGGTGAAAGGATAGCCTTCTGAGTTTTTGAAATGTTTCAAGAATGTGTCTCGACTAGGATAAATTATAGGACAAGAAATCTCCGAGATACATTACGGAATATCAACGAGGCATGCTTTAATCACACGTAACCAAAAAAGAGGGGTTTTTAAAAAAGAGCGTAGTCTGTTGGAGTGGAGAAAAGCGAATGAGATACCACAACGTTTAGAAGGGTTCAGAGCGAGTGGGAACGTGTGCTTGACCAAATCAAGAGTTTGTCTAATCCTTGTTGGAGTTTCGAATGTTCCACAATAATTGGGATTATATATTTTAGGACGTCGTCAGTGTGTTTACATGCGGTGAAATTGTTTGGTAGAGCCAGAGACTCGACATAGAGGGAAAACAGAATGCGGGGTAGAATAGATCCTTGTAAGACCCCAGTTTTTCTGCGATTGAGGAAGCTCTTCTGCCATATAACTGCGTGAATTGTGTGCGACTCGTACAATAGTCCCCTACTACATTACATTCGTGTGGGGGAACGCCATTTTCGTGCAAAATGTTGCGTGGTAGCGATCTGTCGTGGCAAAAAGCCATTCGTATAACCAAGGAACAGGAGCCGCACAGTCTTGCATCTTTTTATCCAAATTACATGCAATGAAATGTACAAGATATGAAACGGCATCCAGAGTCGAGTGCCCTGACTTGGATGCAAACTGTTTACTATCTGTTTTATGGTTGCTTGTAAGGATTCGGGGAACCAGTAGTTTTTCAAGGACTTTCAACATCACGGAGATACACGCTATTGGCCGATACTTCTGTGTTCCCTTCTTGAGCACAGGTGTTATTCTGGCCGCTTTCCAGATCTCGGGGATTGTGCCAGTCTTTAAACAACGGTTGAAAATCTCTGTCAGAGGTAACTGTGATGCATTAGCACACATTTTCAAAACGATTGAAGGCAAGGAATCGGGGCCACTAGTCTTGTTTAGCTTAATTCTTGTGTTCTTCGTAAATACTGATATGGTCAAACAAGGTAGGTCATTGATGGGGAAAGGAGGTAGGGAGGAAGTGTTTGCTGATGTGCTCAAATCTGCGTTGGGCTTTTCCACATCCGCAGTACCTAGTGGGCAACTAGAATCTTTCCCGGAGATCTGCTTTAAGAGCCTCCACAGGTCACGGCAACTGCAGTTTCCTAAAACGGCTTCAGAGTATAGGCTATTTAACCTTTTTATCTTGACTTCTATATCCAGAGATAGACATTTGGCACGGGCTGTTAGTTTGTTTTTGTAGGCCTGTTCCTTTTTTCTGCGCAGGTTCTTGAGTACTGGTGGTGAAAATCTATCAATCCGATGATGGTCTCAATGAAGCAATTATAGATTGAAGCAAAAATCGATATAATCTGTGAGGTGTTCGCATTGAGCTGACAAATCATCGTGGGCGAAGATTGAGAAATCGGTTGAATTGAGCGTTGATTTAAGCTTTGCACTGTTTTCCGTTGATCATTTTCCCAGCCTAACAGTTCTGAATGGCATTCTTGTCATCACAACGTAATTGGTCTTACCGTAAATCGTTGAGCATATCTTCACAGTGACATAGTCTGACTCGCCAAGCGGGATGCATCATTATGTGGAAAACAGGTTATGTTTGAGTGCGCCTCACGTCTGGTAGAATTCTACAACTTGATTAGACCCAGCACTGGAATCAAGTCTGCGTCACTACTATTGAAGTCACCAGCAATGATGCAGGGGGAACATTTCAATTTCGATTGTAATTCCGAAGCAAGGTGATCTGCAAACATTTTTATGTCTGACAGTGCTGCGTTAGGCGTTATATAAACGTTCACAACTACAACAGATGGAAAACCACTAAGGAATTTTCGTTTACATTCCAATGGGTAATAAATTATTGAAGTTGTTGAGTTAGTGGACAGCTGTGAAACCGATGTACACCATTCTTCGCTAATGTACCTGATCACACCTACCCCGCGTTGGTGTGGCTTTCCTGGGCGGTCAAATCTGATGTATCGATAACCATCGAGTTTCACGACTCCATCTTCAATGTCGAGATGTAGCCAACTTTCTTGTCACATCACTATACCTGCGTTCGAAAATTCTGTTCGTTGTAAAAGGCTGCCAAGATCATCAGTATTTCCGATAAGCGATCGAACATTGCTCGACAGGATAAGCGGATTTTGTGCATTGTTGGTAAGACAGCGTCCGCGTCCAGCTTGCCAATCAGCATGGTGCTTTTGGGGGTAAAACCCTACAAATTGTTATGGACAATTTTTTTTGAAAGTATTACTGATTTTGTGACCATAGTTGAGTAGAGGTGAATTTCTTACATCTTCGCGGAGCGAAATCAAATGGTCAACAGAGTGTGTCAACATTGCTGCCCTTAAATTGGTCTGTTTAAACAAATAAAAAGTAAGTTATAGAAACAGGTGGGGGAAAATGTCCGCAGTGAGTAGCGTAGAACAATATTCCAATCACAACAGCAACGGCCGAATTTAAACGCCCTGCCGGTCAACGACGTCTTGCTTCCATTAATGCTCTAGTTCATTGTTTACAGTAAGTAAATCAATCTTTTATTTCTCGACGGTTTGAGAGACTTCCCGCATAGGGAATGATGTGGAACCCTTTGGAAATAAATTACTATGGTTTTGGTATCTGTGTGTTTCATCGATATGACTCACGCCAACTGTGGGGGTATGGGTCACCTATTAGCTGACCTTACCTAAAGTACGAATGTGACGCACTACGCTATGAACCGGAAGTCAATTTAAATTCTGTTTTCTTGTTAGCTTGAGTGATCAGTTTAAGTGCTTTTCTCTTTTATTGGGCACTATAGTTGCACTGTAAATTAGGCATAGAGAGGAAAAGAAAGTACAAAGTCAGACAGAATTGTTCTCATCACTTTCAGTGCGCAGTGAATTTTCGCTTGTCGGTCTTTACCCAACGTTTTCAATAGAGGCGTCTAGTCAACTGGGATTTTCGACACCGACCTTGCTCAAGCAGAAACACGATTCGCTTTAAGGCAGTTCATTGAGGAAGAGTACTAGAAATTGCCTTATAAGCTTTCAAATTTTGTGCGAGGTTACTTCGGACCAACTCAATTGGTGCCTAGCCACAGAATGGAGCAAAGTTACAAGTTACCCCCTATGGTCAGCTAACAGATACGACATGTGCACACAGCACGTTGCAGTTTATTGATCCATTTGCCACCGGAGCCACAACTGAGTTCCATCTTTCTTCACATTAAAGACCTCAGTGTCCACAATGTATAGATTATCATAATCGATAACGCGTTGCCAATTTACTCATTCTGTGATGCATCTACAATACACGTCAATCGCTGGGTTAGTTGTATCTCACTGTCGGATTTGATGGTAGCGGTGACACGTCAGCGCTCAAAGGATGAGCTCCGCTATCGTCATCAAGTATTGAATTTCGAGTTCTATCCGCAAACCGAAGTAAACCCGCGATTTGATGATTTAGGGGTCCAGCTGACAATCTTTCTGTCCCAGGTTCGCGTCCTTTCACGTGTTTGGCTCCGCCGTAGTGTTTTAGCCTCAAATGCAACTGCTTACGCTTTCATGACAGCAAAGCATCAGTACAACCTACTGGTGTACTGTCTGGCACATTTTTTTCTCAAACTGATAGTGGAGGGTGGGGAACAAGATTTTTCCGATATTCTTTGGTCTGTCTGACTGTTATGAATCACTCTGATCTCCTGATGGAACCACACTCTATTTGGTTCATTTACTCCCAGAACCGACCTGACTTCATTCTATACTTACTTTCATTCTCATTTTGAGTGCTATCGTTTGCCACACATGCAGTTAAAGTCTATTGTTTGTAGTCCAAAAGGTAGTAAACCTCAGCAGACACATCGACCGGTTGTTATTGAAGCTTTCCAACATCAATGCTCTGCACTGTAATGTAAACATTTAGCGTGAGGTTGGCATGCCCATTTGCAGTGGTCGTTAATTGTATTGTAAAATCCCGCTACCCACCGTGTAGCAAACGTTCGTTCACTTTCCCTTTTATATTGGTCCTCCTACCAACATTGTTCATGTGTTTTACTATCCACTAGACTTTTCTCCCTTTGAATTTCCTTTTTCACACTGAGTTGGACTTTGCAATACTGTTACTCGGTGCACGTTCTGTTTACTGACATGAGGGTTATTCAGCCTTACTTATGTGTCGATGGGGAACCTTGTCTTGCGTCCCACCTGATATACTGACTTCCGTCTATTTTCGTAGGATCATAGCCTGGTAGAATCGGTATGTTGAACTCATCGGTTGTTACTAGCGGTCTAGAAACACGACGTCCCCTTCCATTGTCGTTCAACTCTTGTTTTTCTCCAAATCCGCGCTTCCACCGGATGTTTTTCGTGGCGTAACTCTACGAAAGGATTAGCGCTTGGCTAGTAAATCACAGGTACGAATCCGCTTAGGTACACGCAACGTCATGATATACTGAGCTCACGCGCGACATTTGCTGGTTGCATAGTAACGAAGAGTCCGTATAGCATGCCGGACTACTGCTGATATCTCTCTTTTCCTCTCTTTGTCACTATATATAGAGAGGCCCTTATCCTTTTCACGAACCTACTTTGTTGCACCGACTCTGTTTCTAGTTCACCAGTATGTACTTTCGGCGAACGTTATTCTTTTTCGATAATTTTTAGTCTCTGCAATGTTGTGACCACTGTAGCATGCGCTGACCGCCGGCCTTCGTGTATGCCCATCTTTCGATCATCTGAAGTTGTTCACTACCGCATGCCTTATGCTTTTTGCAGGATATCATGCAACTTCCTGTCTTTCATCGAGTTCGGCGGTGTATCGTAGTTCTCATATGCTGATGGATTCAGCACTTTTACGTTAATTGTTTGCAAACGATCGTGTACCCAGAACGATTGTGGAGCAAAAACCTATTTTTACCTTTTCCATCTCTTAGATCTTTTGCCATGGGGATATTAAAGCCGAGAATGTTTTGCTCACCTCGTGGGGTTGGACCTTGTTGGCTGATCCAGCTCCTTTCAAGCCTTGTTGGTTGCCAGTGGATAACCCGAGTGAATTCACGCATTACTTTGATTCTTCGCGACGTCGTGTTTGTTACTTGGCCCCGGAAAGGTTCGTTGAATGCAAAGAGTCTCAACCCTTCGAAATTCCGCATGAAAAAGCACCACTTGAGATTGATCCTCACGGTCCCATATTGACGCGCGACATTGAGATTATCGAAGCTACTTCAGATAGCCCGAAGGTGAGCACTTCGTCACATTGTGAGCGCGCACATTTCACTAGTGTCTCGAAATGACTATTTTCCAACGTTCCCCGTAATACTACTCCGCCCCGTATCACTCCGCATTGTTTGAATTTCGCTCAGGCTGGCTATTCACTTTCTTTGCCTCGCCGGTATACTATTCATGTTTTATTGTTATGGTAGTTAAGTGCTCATCACGAGCGTGGACACTAATCAATACGTGTACCGGTTCCTCCTAGTGATTATTTTTAAGTGAACTAATCACTTGATCTACACTTGCGCGGTTAGTGTTGCCCCTAACCCCCATGTACAATTGCTCTTTCTCTCTGATATCCTCCGGCACATTTGACTGATATCTTACTAATCATGTGCAAGCTTTTTACTTGCGATACCATGATTTTAATACTGTATCAGTACATTCTCAGGGGTGTTAGGTAGTCAGCTGTCAATGGGGTAAATCACAATTTGAAAGACGAATAGACATCCGTTTCGTTGACTGCTTCTACGGAAATTATCCTCAAATGCGTTTTCCCGAGATGGACTTCCCTATCTTATAATGATTCAATCAAGACTTGAGTACATTCCGTCACCATGCACATCTGCTCACTATTAATGCCACAAAGATTTTCAATCATTTTGTTTGCACGTTGTCGATAGAAACCGTGCAAGTGCAGAAACTCTAAGAAGCTTAGTCAAGACAATTGTCAAAAATTTCCGAGATCTTGCACTCAACAGCCGCTCAGATTGGATTCGCATTTTCGGCTTATTCGCCCCCATATTTGTCCAATTTATAACGGGCATTGAGAAGTTTGTACACGAATCACTGCAACCAGTTATGCCGACCATTTGGCCAAGTCTGTTCGTTCTCGTTGTGCGTTAGTTCTGTGTGTGATTGCAATTACCAGAACAAGCTTGGTAATCAGCACCCTCATCTACATTTGAAAAACGTACTTTAAAATCCATGAATACGTTGTAGGAAAGCTGGTCCATGGACGTTTCAGCTAACAAATCTCAACTACTTCCCCAAGCACGCTGTGTTTTGGAAGGCTCCACCAATCCTGCTGTTGCTCTTATTCAAATCTCACACTCCGTTCGAGATTCGGACACTCGGTATGCTAGCAACTCTAACCCTTCTCGGACACATCCCTACATCATAGAGAAAATACTAGACAACTGACAGGCTGCCTCATTCGTTCATTTTCGCTGGCTAATCCTACAACTTCGACATCAATGACGGCACATTAGCCATTTGAACTGATGCTTCGCTCTCATAGAACCACAGTAACCTACAGAACGAAGAATAATAATAAGAAGGAGAGAAGGGGGACTAGGCATTAAGCCTCAAAGCCTAAGACAAACATTCGGGGACAAGACGCCCACACTTAGTCAACAACGTACCGTCACAAACAGTTGGCTATCGTGCAAACATGGTTAGAGTCGTTCAGGCTCATAATGCAGCCCACGCTGGAGCACTGCACCATCATCACCAACTATAGCCATCTATGCAGAACACACAGAATTAAAATGTGTCTAGCGCCCATTCACCAAAATGATCCCAGTACCCTCATCTCAACACTTAAACTGGTGGAACGTTATTTTGACCGACTGGACCTCCTTTGGTTGCAATGACTGAAGAATAACCTCATTCTGTTCCGTCGTATCATGCATTCGCTGATTTTTACCGCTAACATGACCTCCGTACTACAGAACGGTTTAACATGTTCCGCTCATAATAGGAGGTACTTTCTATCCTAAATGATGGCTATACTAAACGCCCGTTTATACATCTACTTTGTTAAGTACGCCTATCTGTAGTACAAGCTACTTCTACACCTAAAGCCAGGTGGGAACTTGCCTACTTTGAAAAGGTACATTTATAAACGTTTCTATCTGTCAGGCAGCTTCGACCTACAGTTAGTTTCTATCTGTTCCATATTTGGTCTAAGTATTCGACCTTCAGAAATTTACTAGCGTAATTGTGAAGTCTCACTTCCTAGTCTGTTTTCAGCTAATTGCTCTACAATATCTATGCTTCACTACTCCATATTGTCTTCGAATATTTTCACTAAATTTCACTGTACGTGAGCTTGGACACCATCTTTGAATAGCACCGGATACTTGAATGCCAAGTGCTGATGCATTCAAATGTTTGTTAATTAACAAGTTTACCTAAATCACCCAGATTTGTAGCGTGATAACCTTTACGGCACTGTACAACTCACCGTTCATCAAAGAAGAACGTTTCCCTTCTGTCGTAAGACATATTCACTTATTTATTTACTTTAGGTCAACAGCAGAAACATTTGCGTGTGCGTGTTCAAGTGACACTGCTCCAAACTGAGTCATGTCAGAGGTTTGACTATCTGATCTGCTGTCTATTCATTTTCGTTATATTCACTTTTGTTACTGTTTGCGTTGCATCCGCGGTGCTTTTTGATTTCTAATGATTATACGGGTCATTTTACTGTTCTGGTACGGTGCACGGGTATGCCGCGTGCTTACTTTGTTTTATTTGTATTCATCTTCCCGCGTGCTCCTTGTACCGCACCTCCTGATATGTTATATGCCGTTCTCTTCCTTCTCATTCTTCCCCCCCCCCCCAATATTTTATTTCCATCAGCCTTCTAGGATGCGGGATTCTCTCGTTGGATCTGACTTCACACCAGTAGATCAAGAGTTACGCCTTGCAGCGGACTGCACCAGTAGTGATTTCAGCAAACAATCTGTGCCTACCGAACCACCTGATGGTAAAATATTGCCCGGGTCGAAATCCAACTTAAAAGGTGCTGCATCCATATCTTCTTCTCTTCAGTCGGTGGGTTATGGTACCGAATCGTCAAATCCGGAATCTTTGGTAACGCAAGCCATGGATTTATTTTCCACGGGGTAAGATATGTTCGATCCGATTGTTTGGTCCTCTCTTCTACCCTCAACAACTATCATCGGTATGGATTAGTTACCGGTGACGTTCACGTATTCCTTTCTCAGTGTCTGTATCGGGTCCGGTCTACCGAAACTAAACATATTTGCGTACTGCACTGACGTCTCATTGCTGTGCCAATTTTTTTAACCTTTCATTGCCATTTGGAAGTTTCCAATGAGCCAGCACTCAGTGCAACGTTTGTTTCCCTAGGTCTGACGAGTTTGGCTCACGTCACATTTACTTGTGACTATTAGCCTTGCATAGAACACGCGCCATATGTACGAAACTCTTGTCAACGAGTGGAACTCTTTTGAAAACTGTCCTGACTAATAATTGTTCTTTCCAACTGCCTCCCTCACTCATTTACACTAACGTGTTACGAGTCAGTACGCCAGTTCCCATTTCTTCGTAGCAATTCACATTCGGAATATTCAAATTGATATTTTGACATAAGGAAGTGCAAGTACACTGCCGTTGACTCCATTCTAAAATATCTCGAATAGGGTTTCTTGCCGCGGATGTGTACGTTGTCTCTTCCCACATGTTGTAAATCATATAAACCAACGCTGTCTCGTCTTTTGACCAGTTTTTTTAATTATGCGTTCTCTGGGTCGGTCCCAGGACCCATGCAATTCCATAAATGTGTCTCGATGGCCAGAGCTAGCAAATTTCTTACGACCAACGTGTGAACCAGCGCATGAAACATTCTCATCATGATAACCCCCAGTGACTCGCCGGAATTCACCGATTTCCACGGAGTTTCCCGGGCGATTGTTCTCGTAAGGCATGATCCAACGTGGTCAATCAAGAAAAGTTGAGCCTTGCACTCTAGCTATCAAATTTCACTACAAAGCGAAGAAGATTGTGGTCTAATTTGACTCCAAAGATCTTTGAGACAAGCCGTTGTTGAGCACAGCACTAAATCCTTCTCTTCAAACCTAAGAAGCTGATATTGGGTACTGTTGTTATGCAGGGCACTCAATCTCTCCACATCAATGAAGCATCGTTGTGTGCTTTAAGCACCAATGCGTTTGCATTGGAATCAACAAGAACAAAGCCTGCATTGGAATACTGAACTATTTACAGACAATTAAAAATAACGAAATGTACAATACCTCAATAATCTGTGCACCCGGCACAGGCGTGTCAAGCACGATAACAGTCCAAAAGGGCCAACAAGTATGGCTTAGGACACATGGGAATGAATTCGTCTCATTGCACTGTGGCTTAAAACGGGTTTACAGAGGACCGATCGGAACAAGGGAGGCTACCATGAGCCACGACTGTGAGAATCCGTGCACTACACCCAAGTGACGGCATTGTGTTTCAATGCTATACATGGGGGAACAAAACTATGACCGCACGAACCAAATAAATAAATAAATCTGTGTATTTACCGACGGACGGTACACGGCCCCATAAGTGGGAGCGATCATTTGTATAGTGAATACGTTTCATAACATTAAAGAAAAGTTCATTTATAGCATTTCGGATCATGAGTTTTTTTCCTTGAATCCTAGACTCGTGCAACTCATATGTAAAATGTACGGATGACTCACAGTCTGTGTG